ACTGATGCATGGAATGTTCAACAAAGGAGTGTTCTTTGAGACAGATATGCTGCCAGTATTTTATTATTTACATATATATACACATGTAAGGATTTAGGGTATTGTGTAAAGCAGTCATTGTAATATAGAAAGCTATTTGAAGATATTACCCTTAACCAATAGGGTTGTATTCCGCTGTAAATGGCAATACCAATTAATTAAACAGTTTTGGATGCTTTTTGTAGGTTTATATTTTTCTTGCAGTCAGAACTCGGTTTTCCGTATTTGTATATTTTGAATGCAATGCTTTTACATCTCTTCAGGTTTTGAAACTGCTTACGACTCCCTTATATGGAGTTCTGATTGCTTGTTCACAAAATACTATAACTGTTTTTGGTGTTGAGAAAGTTATCTGTGTATAACGCTACAAAGTTGAAATGCAGTTTGAGGCTTTGTACATACACAAAGAAATATAGAGATCTATGCAGCTTTGTAGCTTAGACCTTACAAAGAAGATATTTTCCTAACACCAAATATAGATACCAGTTGATAGTATGTACTGGCTAGTGAAGCATATTAGAATGATTTTCCATTTTATAACTTTATGATATTTCCGTCATTTTCCTTTACTATCATGATAATATATATTTGCATATTGACAATTTTTTTCTATATTTCATTCTCGAGTTATTATTATATATATTGTGTATTGTGTGACCTATTTGGCCGCACAAAAATCCTTTCTGATATTGGATAGTTCTATATCCTTTTCATTTTTTTCGTTTTTATATGTATGTTTTTTTTTCTATTGTTTTCTTTTTTGTTATTTTTTTGTCAATTTATATTTCATTTACTTTTATTTGATTTCCCTTTTGTTCATTTTGTAAAAAAAAAAACTTTAGTATGTGCAAGAAATACCTTTGGCAAATGAACCTCGTTTAAAAGAACCACATGTATATTAATCCTATAAAATGTAATACACAATTTATATCAACTGCTGATTTGCCTCTGTAATTATTTCTTTCATATACAGAACAAGGTGAGTTTGCATTTTTTTTCTCTTGTAAGTTTGTTTTATTTGTTTGAAATTATTTTTTTTTCGATTTTTTAAGTTGTTTATTTTATTGTTAATTTTTCTTTATTTTCTTGCCTCACTTCATTGTCAACAGCCTTGTCAATCAGTTCTTGATCCATTGCCTTGTTTAAATCTCATTTCGCTTTCTCTTTCTCAGTCTATGTCTGTATTTGTATATAAGCTTACACTGTCCTATATAATATATATAAAAATATAATATCTCTCCATTATATATAATATATATATATATCTCTCTATATGTATATATATATATCATATGTATAATATAATATAATATTTATTATATTTATAGTGTATATATCAAATATGTATATATACCACTACATATATAATATATATATATTATCTATAATTATTATATATATATATTATGTATATATATAATATAATATATTATATATATATATATATATATATTGTGTGTGTGTATATATATACTATACTATAGTGTGTATATATTATATATATATATTATATCAAATATATATAGTGTTGTGTGTGTGTGTATATATTATATATATATATATATATAATATATATATACTTATATATTATATTATATATATATATACATACACACCACACACACACACACACACACACACACAACCACACACACAATAATACTATATAATATATATATTATATATATATATATATATATAATATATTATTATATATATATATATTATATATATATTATATGTATGTATGTATGTATATATGATATGTATGTATATATATGTATATATATATATATTAATATATATATATATATATATATATATATTATGATATATATATATATATATATATATATATATGTATCCTTTATATATGAATTATATGAATTAAATGTGTGAGTGTGTTGTATGTGTATATACTGTATAATGTATATGTCACATATCCATATATATACATATATATATATATATTATATATATATATATATATATATATATATATATATACTATTATATTCTTTATATATATGATAATATGGCATATGTGTGTGTGTGTGTGTGTAATAGGCTGTATAATACTGGCTATATGTATATGTCCCTTATGCATATATAATATATATAATATATATATATATATATATATATATTATATATAATATATATATATATATCTATAGGTATATTTTTGTACTATAATATATATTCTTCCTCATCTTAGTCGCTTGCTACTTATTCATTCTATTATCTCCCTTCTTCTCTTCGCTTCACCTTCATCTTCTCTTCCTCTCTTCCCTCAATACCGTATTTCTTCTGCATCTTCTTCTTCTTCCCTCCTTCTCTCTTCTCCCTTCCTCCCCTCGCCTCCTCATTCTCTTCCTCTACCTTTTCTTCCTCCTCTCTCTTCGTTCTCTCTCCCCCTCCCTCCTCTTCCTCAAATCTCCGTCTTTCTTCCTTCTTCTTCCGTTGTAATCTCTCCGCCTTATTCTCTCCTCTGCTCTTCTCTTTTTCTAAATATTTTTCTCATATTCTCTTCCTACGAAGCCTTTCATACCGCTTAATTTGCTATTAAATCAATATGCGCATCTTTGCTTCCTATCTATCTATCTATCTCTTT